TTCCATCTGTCCAGGGAAGGGGTGCCTCAGGGGCAAGGGCTGCCTGCAGTGCAGAGCCACAATGGGACATTCAAGGCCAACTTTTTTCTTGGTCCTGTTACTCAGAAAGCGACCTATAGATGTTATGGCTCTTTCAGTAACTCTTCCCATGACTGGTCATCCCCAAGTGACCCCTTTTACATTTCTGTCACAGGTGAGAAAGGCTCATAGATAGAGATAGAGATAGAGATAGAGATAGATAGAGATAGAGATAGAGATAGATAGAGATAGAGATATGATGTCTTGTGACTAATAAAATCCTGCATCCATGTCTTAGAACCATCTTACTAAAAATAGGGAGAAAATCTCATAGGGAGCTAGAAAGAAGAACCATGAGTATTTTTGTATATATATATACATGTGTGCGCCACCACCGCCTGGATTAGATGCTTATTTCTTATTATTTAATTTGTATTTGTTTTTTGAGAATTTCAAACAATGTGTTGATATTGGTAAAATTTTGAGGCCACTTCACGTAGTTAAAAGGGAGGTTTATTTTGTGGGGTAACTTACAAGTTAAGGGATAAGTAAAAGGGTCTGGGAAAGATGTGATGCAGTCCAGTTGTGTTCTCTGGAGAACTCTGCTTGGTCTACCTCCAGCGTTCAAGGTTCAGGAACCAAGAGAGCAGGCCCATCCAGATCTTGGGTCTTCAGGGTCCTCTCTTGGCCCCGCCTGGTAGGCATGACAGTTACCGAAGCCTCAATGGGGGTTGGACCTTCCAGATCAAAGCTGGAATGGCTACCCACTACATATACACCACCTTACTCAAGTCCTCCTAGACCTACCCACCCAATGCTGTCATTTTTTTATCCATGAAGTTCAATTTCTGATGTCCATATATTCATGAATATGTGGTCTCTCACTGGAGCATGGTCAACATATTCATCACAACTCTCCTGAAACTGATTCTCCCAACAGCTTTCATTTGCCTATAGCCCCTTGACTAAGGGTGGGACTTCATGTCCTCAGCCTCAATGCATGCTGGGATTTGTTCTAGCTTGCACATGTACTGATCATTTGCATGCTGTCACATCTGCTTTTGAGTTCCTATATACAACTGACATCTTGGGTCCAGGAGACCCTATTTCTTTTTGTTATCATAAACCTCATTCAGTCATTTTTAATTCATCATTTTCACAATTAACACTGAGCCTTGTAGAAGTGGATATCATGTAAATGTCATATTTAGAGCCAAGCATCCGCAGTCCTTTATTTTCTGCACTTTGGCTAGTTGTGAGTACCTGTATTGATCACCATTTATTGCAAATATATGCTTCCCTGCTGAAGGTTGAGAGATGCATTAATATAGGGATTATTATAAGGAAATTTCCAAAGGAAAGTCATCAGGAGCCAATTTATACTGTGTGCTTTAGCAGAATGAGAATAGTAGCTTCTTCACCAAGAACATTGTCCTAAAGATTAATAGTCCATTAACTATCCATCTATCAATAAATGCTAGTTAATCTATTACAGGGATCCTAAGATTGTCTTCTTATTTATTGCATTCATATGTTCCATCAGATAATCATGGGCTCCTGCATATTCTGTTTAGACTCTCATTCTACACGATGATTAGCTTCCTCATTTTCCTCATCCATTCTCAGTGCTGTGCAAAAAGGAATGCATATCAAGAAGGAAGTGAGTTTCATCTGAGTAGCATGAGAAACTGAACCTGGAGGAATACAGGTGTGTGGTATTCATTTACTTGGCCTAGGACAGGGACACTGATGTGGGTCTTTGCAGAGAGAACTGCTGAGCCCTTATTCTTTCCCTCAGCTCTCAGACCAGTGACTAATTCTTCACATATCCAAAGCAGACTAATATCTAGAAGAAGGTTTTTTGAAAGAGAGAGCACTAAAGAGAGAACTAGGAGCATACAGCATTAATGAGATGGGGTTGAAACATAGAGATGCAGGACATATGACTTGGCTGTGTGGGAGAAGAGAAACCTTGGGTTTGACCATATCTCTC